ATTAAAAGGGGGAGCACCAAGCTCACTGAGTACCTGCTCAGCGGCGTGGTGGTTGGGGTTTTTGTGGGACCGAAAGTCCACACATATAAAAGTTGCCAAGGTTGAGGAAGACTGAGCTAGGGCACCCCAGTTAATTGATTGACTATGTGCCATCAAGTTCTTTTTGACTCCTAGTCACTACGTAGATAGATTTTCTCCATGATGATCTATCCCTAACCTGGTCTTTCTGGTCTTCCAACAATACCCCAGTTAAGGGTCTGTTTAATTTTCTTCCAGGAAAGTAGCTTATAGAGGAATTGTCCATGGTATTTTATGATGTAAAGCTACTTGATGTACTAACAGTTTCAGTTCATTGAACTGACATTTCAATCGCTTGGAAAAAAACCCATGCTGTTTATTCATTTAATTTCAACATGTGGACAGAGAGTCCTGTCCATTTCGTGCAAAGATATGTCAATTGTTCATCTCTTGAGATTTATATTAAGTGGAGAGGCGTGGCCTTCTCTGGATGACATAAAATGAAATTTTGTCTGACTGTTGAACCAAACAAGGTGATGTTATGCTAAGGAGCTTCTGCTAATGAATGGATTGGTTTGGGCAGGTAACTGTCAATTCTACTTTAGATGTTATAAATGATATAGAAACTTCTATAATAGAACTGTATCTTAGAATTGAAAATCAATATACCATCTTAGCTCCTTAAGCATGTAATAGTATCATTTCATGAATTCAAAAGAGATATTTTAGAGATCTAGATGGTTAACAGCAGCATGTCTGGAAGCCTGAAATGAAGATGGAGGAAAGGCAGAGGTGGGAGTGTCCCCAGTCTAAAAAGGGGGTTTCCAGATTGTGTTTCTTTCATTATATATATAGATCTCCTTTTTTGGATTTTGAAAACATATTGTTCATATCTTGAACACATATAAGCTGTTCCAAGAGCAAGTTCAGAAGGAGTGGCTGTTATGTTGACCACCCAGGAAAACACCACCCAGGATAAATGCCATGTAAAAATAGAGAAATTCTACTTTTGTAAATAGCATTTACAAAAATGGGGGTGGGGGAGGTCATGTAAAACCTTGTACATGGGGATGTGATAGGATGTAACATCCATATCTCTCTATTCTGAGAGTTTAAGGAAAGATAGACTGCATACACTATCCTGATAGAAGGCATAGCAGTGTGTAAATATAATAACTTTTCCTTGTGACTTATAATATCTTCTTCAACGGGTGGGTTATCTCAATAGGCTGGAGACAGTATCTTTTCAACCAACTGCACAGAGAAATGCACTTGTCACGCCCCAGGTCAGCTCACCTGTGAGGAAACAGCGTGCCAGAGTGAAGAGATCTGCGTTCTCCGAAATGGTGTGCGTGGCTGTGAGCGCAGAGAAGGCCGGTGCAAAATTTCCCCAGAAGCCCAGCTCATTTCTTTTGATGGAACCTCAGCAAAGTACCTCTGTGGTGGGGTTTATGACGTGGCATCTATGTGCGATGACAGAGACCTCTCCTGGTTCAGGGTATCTGTGAACATCGGAAAGGACTGTGAAGATAATCCATCAGTGGGCAAGGCTGTTCATGTTTTCTTTGGAGAGGCCACCATTACTCTGAAAAACAACAACCAGATATGGGTAAGTGAGGAGGCCAGAGGAGCAGCAAGGAGCTCTTTGATCGATCAATAAAATTCACCAGGCATCCTTGAAAGCTACTTTCTTTCTCCCCCTTCATCACCATGTTGCCAATTAGCTGAAATTGGCTCCATTTTGGTGTTTCTGATGTTTATGTGGCCTTCTCTTCCTTTGATTTATTTTGTGATTTCTCCCAACAACCCCAAAACAAACATTAGAAAAAAAAATCTGCATTCATGATCAACACTGTGCATAATTTTGTATGCAAATTTCCCACTCTTCCAATACTTCTTTGAAAAATATAATTACCCCTACTATGTACTCATTTCTACAGGCATTTTTTTCCCCAATATACTTTTCCTTGTATGAATTTCGGGTGAAGAATAATGGATTTGAGCAGAAGCAATGTTGCTGTCATTCACAGTAACAGCCTCAAATTGTATTTCATTCCCATTGAAATTCAAGATCAGTTTATTTGGATCCCTTCCCTATCCTCAGATCACTTTAAATTTTTGTTAGCTTACAAGAGGAGGACAATCATAGCTGATCTTGAATCCCATTTGGGGAATCCTAGAACTCCTACCACAGTTGCCAAGAATCAGCAGTATTTTCTGTTTGCATGTGTGTGTGTGCACACATGGCGGGAAATAAACAAAAATTGTAGAGCAAGTCCTAAATAAAGCTTAATATATATATATATTTTTTTTACAAAACCCCCCAAACTCAGGAAAAACAAAATCTGACCTCCATCCATGTATGTATGTGATGTGCCCTGCCCATTTCTCATGACTACTTGCCTTGTCTCCCTTGAAAATATTAAATTCTGTCTTGGCTGCCAAAATATTCTAAACCCCAGATTACTCACTCCAGGAAATAACCATATGCCACTGTATACTGACCAACAAAAACTTCTCCTTCTAATGTAAAGTTGGGCAGCTTCTGATGAATTCCATGTCAGCAGGCAGATTTTTTACCCTAGATCACTCAGCATGGACTTGAAATGTTATATTCCTGATGGGTTCCTGGGCTTGCTCAGAATAGCTTCTGATGTCCCAATATTTTGTTTTCTAGGTAAATGGGCGGTCAGTAAAACTTCTGCACAAAGTCTCCAAAGCTGTAACTATAAGCAAGGATCAGGATGGGATTGTGATTGACCGGATTCCTGATCTGCAAATTCATTTTCATTCTGATGGTGAGGTGACAGTGAAAGTCAAAGATATTCCTCCACAAAAGTTGTGTGGACCCTGTGGGAACTTCAATGGAGACCCCACAGATGACCTGAAATTGCCAAGTGGGAAATCTGAGAACATTGTTGAAGCTCTCCATTCTTGGAGGGCCAAGGACTTTTAAAGTGGTAAGGTATAATTCAGGCAGCAACCTCGGCAGATCTTTAAAAAAGTTAAGCAGGACTGGACTTGCATGGAGTCTACCAGGAAATCTAGGATTATAGGCTAGGCTAGGAGTTCAAAAAATGTATCAGAGGAAGACAACAGCAAACCACTTTTGTAGCACGGCCAACTGGTGCTGACTCAAGGGAGTCTTTACCTTTT